CAGCCTCTCTTCATATCAGTGGCAGGGTAAGGATTAAGGATACTATTTGCTTCCTTGATGCTGTACCCACATGTCTTGACCTAGACGAGCTTGTATCAACAGTACATAAGGCCACTAGCCTGGGATCTTCCAAGAGCCCCTGGCCTGCAAATCTTTTTCTGTACATTCTCTTTTACAGACTGTTTTGTGCAGCAACTAGCTTAACCCCGACAAAGTCTTTCCACCTTCCAAACATTATGCCCAGCAATATCCCATGGAGGAGGGGTTCCTTAAAAAATGGTCCAACCCCGTGGTGGACCCAGCCATTTCCTACCTTAATAAGATGTTAATTGTCCTAGAAGGAGGATGTCTGGTCTTCAAAAAAAAAAAAAAGTGGAGAAAAGGTTTGAAGCCCGCCTAAAATCCTTATGTGCCCATATGGACCCAGCCCTGCAACTTGCCATTGCTGCCTTGGCATCTGGTCCAAGGTCATCTTTCGGGACCCTGGTGTGGTCCTGATGAACCCCAACTGCTGGCCTTTGGGGCCAAATAATCCCAGGAGGTTTCAGATTCCTCTGTTTAGAATGTGGTGTCCGTGGGCTAGAAACTAGAATTTCAGTCTCCAAACCCCCACCCCACTTCATGTTGTCAAATCCCCTCTAAAGCGGGGGGACCTTTACACTGCTTTAGAGCAGCTGCTCTAACGGGGGATCATAGCGTGCTGGAAAATGACATGTTCGTTAGGCCCTATTCAAACCTGGTCATGATCCCTAAAACCAAGAGAGACATACGTCCCATTCTAGACCTGAAGGTTCTCAACACATGTTTCCAGGCGCAAAACTTCAGCATCAAATTTGCTAGGTCAATCATTGCTTCCCTTAATCCTGCAGATTTCCTTACTTCAGTACACATCATATCCCCATCTTCCCACCAAATCAACGTTCCTGTGTTTTGCTGCGGGTGAGAACTTTTCCAGTTTGTTGCCCCCCTTTTAGCAGTGAGGTCTACCCTCACAACAAGGGTTAAGTGCTCGTTTTCGTCTAGGGTGTAAAACAAAAAAGACATACTCACTGGAACCTCGAACCCTTTGTTTTGTCTTTCAATCAGATCCAACGTAAGCACAAAGTCCTGCAGATAGCAACCATTGCGTCCTGTATGTGATCAGTGCTTTTCCTGCAGCAGTCCAACATACATTCCTGCTTTGTCAGGTCTACAGCTCTGCAATGGGCTGGATCATGAGAGTTTTACTGACTGGAGAGCTTTAGGTCTGACTCAGTGAGGGGAATGTTGAAGGTCTGTACAGAGACCACTGCACATATTGCTGCTCAAGGGGAGGACTTTGTGTTTGAGTTGAGACTTTTTTTTTAAGTGTACCTGTAGCCCAAATAATAGATATTACAGCATTTACATGCAGTAAAAGCTTTAACCCTTTCGCTGCCACCGACGTATCTCATACGTCGGTGGCAGCATACCCCTTTAAACAGACTCCTGATACTGTTGGCATTTGTAAAGCCGGCTGCCGCCAGATTGCTTCCAGGAGCCGGTGAAAAGCACCCCAACCCCCGCCCCGGCCCAGCAACTCCGCCTTGCTTGTGGATAGGCATTTGGGGTGTCGGCGGGAAGCTGGGGAGGAGAACGGCAAACGTCCGTTCGCAGATCTCCTCCCCGCTCTAAGGAACTGGAAGCACAGCTGATTGCATCACTTGCGGTCCCTTAACTGACATTGCTTGGCTGCTCATTGTTACCATTTTCAGCTGGATTCAGAGGACTGCTAATCCAGCACTGCACATGATCCCTTGCCGGTCAATCCCTCACAGTCCTCTTGAGACGATGTGACTCCTTCTTTGGATTGAGACCATGCTGCTGGACAGCCAAAAGGAAGTGCCCACAACACACAGGCGTGACGTGAACAGTCGAAGAAGTAATCTACTGTAAGTTAACAGAAGAGGAAGAAAGACCCAGCCTGGAGTGTCATGTGACTGCGGCTTTAGGTAAGTAATAAGGGCATTTAGATGTATTTGTATGATCAGTTAGAGGAGGGTGGGGGGGTTACTTTTTTATTTTAATTGGTTTTACCAGAATACAATATTTTTCACAATAGTGGTCCTTTTATCAGTCATTAGGGAAGTGTAGGGAAGGGTTAGAACCCCTGTAGAGTCTTTACTGCTTGCCAGAGCTGCATTAGAGAGAATTACCTCTACCTCATGTCCTGCTGACAAGAGTTTTACCAAACAGGAACTGAGAAAAATTCTGCAGCAGGGACATGGGCAGAAATAAAAATCTCATAAGGCTTTACCTACTCTACTAAAGAAAAGCCTTATCCTGTCTATTTATTGGAATGTTCCCCTCACTCTGTACCTGGCAAAACGTTGTCAGCAGGACAGAAAGTAAGGCTAAATCTCTCTAAAGATCGCCATACACGTATAGATTATCGTGTGGATGGAGGAATCTCCCGCTGGGCCAAGCTTCAGTATCTTGTTAGTCGGCCCCGTTGGCTCTCAAAATATCTGAACAATGCCGGCATCCAATCAGATTGTTCATGTACTTTGACAGCCAGTGGGGCCGACTAGCATGATACTGAACCTTGGCCGCCGTCAATCGGAAAAAGAAAAAAACGGCATAGGAATGCATAGCTAGATTCCTATTGGCTATTTTACTTTGCAATAGCCAATAGCAGAATAGCTATTGCACCTGCCCACTGCTGCTGTCAATCAGCAGAGGGGGACCTGAAGTTCTCCATCAGGTCCTCTTCTAGTGATTGACAGCAGCAGAGGGCGGGTGCAATAGCCAGCTTGCTATTGGATATTGCAAATTGAAATAGCAAATAGTAATCCTATGCCGTTTTTTGTTTTTAATTCTGACGGCAGCAACTGTCAGAATATAAAAAACAATTCTGCAGATAGCAAATAAATTATTGCTTCCTTTGCTATCTGTCATCATTTCAGGGGTAATGCCCTCTGCCCACCCGCCCCAACTCAGGCTGGGATCCCTGAGTTTAGGGTAGATGGAGGAATCTGTTGCACTTTTTCTATCTGACCACAGAAAATGTGCAGATAATCTATAGGTGTATGGCCAGCTTTAGTCCCCTGTTCACACCATAGCGGTAATGTGGTTGCAGTGATGTGCGTTCCTTGGCGTTTGCTTACCACACGTCCCCATTGATTTCAATAGGTTACTGGATGCGTGATAAACATGGAAAAGTAGTGCATGTAGCAAATTCTGCAACATGCGTTCTGCATATTTTTCCCCAAGCAAACCGTACGCTTCAAGTGCATTAACTAGTGATGGCACCACTAGTGCATTTGACGTGTTCTTTGAATGTGCATTGAAGTGTGTGGTTTTTCCCACATTTGGCGTGCGTTCATGGAACATGATTGTGTGAACGTGATCTAACTGAGCCCCAGATAATAGCAAGAACCTTACAGGGGTCTTCACCCTTCCACCACCTTATCCAAAACTAACCGGGCTATTCACAAAATGGTGAAGAGTTTGGAGAAGGCAGGAGAAGTGAACAATCTAGGACAGGGGTGCCCACAATTTTTGTGGTAAGATCTACTTTTCAAATGACAAGCAACATGTGATCTACCAACGAAAAAAAAACCTCCCTCACTCTCTCTCTCCTGGCTTTCTCTCCTTGCTCTCTCCCCTGGGCTGTCTCTCCTTGCTCTCTCTCCTGGCTCAACTTGCTGTATTTTGCAACAGGCTGTGTAAGCTAATATTCTTTGATGTAATACATAGCACTTCAACCACCAGTATCCCCCAGAAAGGTGTCAGGAAGCTTGGCTCAGCAGACTCAGGCTAATAGGTAATCATGTGTGCACAGCTAAATAAATATACCAAAATGGAATAAAGGGGCCGCCATTCACACCCTTCGTGATCTACCAGCATTAGCTTTGAGAGCTACTAGTAGATCACGATCTACCTAATGGGCACCCCTGATCTAGGACAACATAGCTGAACTGGAAAGTGAGCTGGATTGGATAATTTTTCCATATCAGCTATTTTGGCCTAGATTGTTCACTTCTCCTGCCTTCTCCGCTATTAGATAGCGGCTCCCGGCCGCCCGGGAGAGAAACACTTACTCCCGGAAAGGTTTATCTGCTCGATCGAGCAGATAAACCTTTCCCTGCGATCGTTTTTTTTTTTCTTTTCTGACATCGGGAGCTGCGGCCCGACTGTCAGTCAGAAAAGAAAAAGGCATACGAATGAATAGCTAGATTCCTATTGGCTATTGCACTTTGCAATAGCCAATAGCAAACTATGTAATGCACCAGCCCACTGCTGCTGTCAATCAGCAGAGGGGGACCTGAATTGTTCTATCAGGTCCTCTTCTGGTGATTGAAAGCAGCAGAGGGCGGGTGCAATAGCTAGTTTGCTATTGGCTATTGCAAGGTGCAATAGCCAATAGGAATCTAGCTGTGCATTCTTGTGCCTTTTTTTTTTTATTATTCTGACTAATGCAACTGTCAGAATACTAAAAGAAAATTAAAAAAAAGCCTGCAGATAGCAAAGAAGCTATTGCTTCATGTGCTATCTGCCATCATTTCAGGGGTGTGCTCTCTCCCAGCCGCCCCTAACCCTCCCTCTGCGGATGGGGAGGGGAGAGGGCACCTCCCTGAAATGAGAGGGACACCTCCCTGAAATTGCTTCTTTCAGGTTGGGATCCCTGCTTTTGTGAATAACCCTGTAAGAGAACAAGGTTTTGCCCAGATTGTAACTTGCAGCCAGTACAGGGTGAGGAGGAGGCCTGATAATGCAGACGTACTGAATAAAGGATGATAAAAGCCTCACAACATTTACTTTACAGCTTCCAGCATTCTATTCTGACAACCTGCTTTAGTATACAGCACTCTGAACGTAGTCAGAGAATTCCTTACTGGCGTGTAAGTTCTTCCAAATTCAAAAACACACAATCTCCACGTTTTCGAGCATCGGCTTCTTTGGTCTAAGGGAGGCAGCGAGTTCCTTCTGTGGCTGTGTACAGAATCGGCACTCCACAGCTCACGTCTGGTTCCGGGATGTAGTGACAGTCCCTGCCGGAGCTCCACGTGACTGTGTGGCAGTAGCTGTGGAGGGCGGCGGAGGGATGCCATCTGCTTTGCCATGCTGCTGAAACTCCTGCAGAGACAGACCTATACCTGCCTGTCCCACAGGTATGGGTTGTATCTCTGCTTTGGGGGCATGGTGCTGATGATCGTCTCTGCTCTGCAGTTTGGAGAGGTGGGTACCCTGTTCTGCTGACTGCTTGTTGTCTAGCACAGCATATACTAACAATCATACGATTGTATTATTAGAAGGAAACAGTGCACAGTCATCGTTGGATACTTTGCTCTGCTCCCTTCCTGCCTGATGTGAAGACTTTCCTCTTTTTGGTTTTGATCGGTTTAACCTTGTTTATGTGCTCTAATCTCGTCTAGACATATAGCTAAATAATGCATGTCAGTGTTCTCTTGTGAATAAGTCTCTATATCTGAAACATGAGGTGCCAAGTTGGAGTCCGAATGGGTATCTGTGGCATCGTCTTGTTTTCTGTGGATGTAGAATGATGTTGTAGGATGAATGAAAAAGTCAATGCCAGCTGCTGACTTCTCTTTGGAAGTGCATTTGATGACAGCACACAGCTCTGCACAGTGACCAATCAGATTCCATCTTCAGTGTGTTCAGTAAAGCATTGAAAATGAATGATGGAAGCTGATTGGTTGCTATGCATAGCTGCTCCAGTCTTAATAAATCCCCCTTATTGTATATTGGGCCCCATGCTGCTTATATTTAGTTGGCCCTTCTGCCAGTTGCATGTGGTCATGCATAAAGGTAGGTGTACGTAGGAAGTCGTTTTTTGCGTTTAATATAAAGGCAGATATTATTGAACAATGCTTTCAGGTACATGCACTGTGCATGACCTTTTATCATCTTAAAGCTTAACTCTAGGGGTTTTCCCTTGCAGTGGGACTGCACCTGAACCGCAAGGGTTAACTACTTGTTTATGTCTAGGGGGCAGGATAAAGCTGCTTTACTTACCTGATCCCTACCCCTTTTGGCAGTCAGCGCTCTCCTCTTCTCCCCCTCCCCTCCTGCTGTAGACTGTCCTTTTGGCATCCTTATGTACAATACCGGGCTATGGAGCCTGCGTTGTACTTTATGATGTTATGGACCTTAGACCACCAGGGTGAAGGGGAGAAGAGGAACCAGTGAAGCAGCCTGGAGGGAGCCGGCAGGAGCGGGGATCAGGTGAGTAAATCTGCTTTACTCCAGTTACCTCTCAGGGCATAAACAAGTAGTTAAAGGAGAACTATGAGGTGAGGGATTTCCACTCATCCTCATAGTTAAAGCTGACCTGTGACAAAGAAGCTGTCACACGTCAGCTCTATTGATCGGGAAGTGAGCAGAAACATGCCGCCGATCTGCTCACTTCCCGATCATCTGCCTGCAGTGAGAGGTGACTGTTAGTCACCGCTCCCCGCAGTGATTCCTTCCCCTCCCCAATCATACAGCGCTGAGTGGAGGAACAAAAACGGGGTGGGGGCGGGCACAGCTGGCACTGTCTCTAGATAAGCAGAGCCAGATGTCACTCACGCAGCTGGGTGGATCTCGACAGTAATGTCAGGATCCGTCCCGGCTGCAGCGCTCTAAGCAGATCGCGGGCAATAGCCTGCTATATACTGAGCTTTGGGTCACGGGAGGAGGTTAGAATATGTCCTCCAGTGACCCTAAAGGGAACTATGGGGAAAAACACTTACCCCATAGTTCTCTTTTAACCTTTGCAGTGCAAGGGCAGCCCTACCTCGGGAGAACTTTTTATTGCCCTGGAATTTGTCTTTGAAGTATATTTTAGGTAAAATTATTGATTTAAAGTAGAGTAGGAAATATTTACAGCCCCTGCCATCTGTGTCGTTGAAGAGATTTCCATTTACTCTCTGTCCTGTAGGCGCAACAGGAAGTTTTAGACCAGGGGTGGGCAAATCTAGCCCTCCAGCTGTTGTGGAACTACAAGTCCCATGAAGCATTGCAAGACTGACAGTTACAGGCATGACACCCAGAGGCAGAATCATGTTGGGATTTGTAGATAAAGCACAGCTAGAGGGCCAGAGCTGACCACCATTGTTTTAGACAGATGTCAATGAAGCAAGTCCCCATTGGGACTCTTCCCTCATTCTTGTTCTGGGGACGGCTATACATTGTATAGAAATTCTCTAATTTTCCGTTCTGGTGGCTAGCAGGGCAAGTAGAATGATTCACCCAGACAGTGATAAAAACCTGACAGAGGTTCTAACTCTCTTCACCGCTCTACTACACAGACGGTTGTGACTTCAGATAAAGTTGAAAGGAAACCTGAGACTGGCAAGGCTCAAATTGACTTTCTATAAGCAGTGCTGGTGTGCAGAACTCCATGTCCCCCTGGGCCACTGCCAATTTGGCTCATTCACTTGCTGCCACATTTAAAGTCACAGTCCTGCTTTTGCAAGAAAAAAATAATGCACATTATTAAAAGAAAAAAATGTGCATTTAATTTTTTGTGGGTGCAATGCTGTGGCTCCTGCAGACCTTTCCGTCCAGCCCACGTCTGGACCAAGGTACAGACTTTAAAGTATAATTAAACTCTTGTTTGTTTGGTTTTTTGCATATATCTACTTCTTACAAACAGTAGATATATGCAAAAGCATTTTTCAAAAAGGTTATTACTTACCTGTGTCTCTTCCGCTCACTCCCGTCTGAAGATTCTCAAGCAGCCGTAAAGGATGATGGGACGGGCACATGTGCAGTAGAGATCTTCAGGCGGGAGAAGAGGAGAGGCACAGTGGAGGTGAATGCAGCAGCCGTGAGCATGCAGGTCGCACAGACTCCGTGGGACACAGAAGAATTGGCAGTCAGCGCTGGATCAGAGAGCAGTACCGGTGCTGGAGGGGCTCATGAAAACTACAGGATAGAAAAAGGTGATCGGATCAAGTGGAATCATTTAAGGTAAGTCCTAACACCAGCACGGAGGGGGGGGAGAAAAATATTTGTGACTTTAAGTTACAGGATTGGTAGGAAGTATGAATACCTTGGAAGTATGAATACACTTTAAGTTACAGGATTGGTAGGAAGTATGAATACCTTGGAAGTATGAATACACTTTAAGTTACAGGATTGGGAGGAAGTATGAATGCACTATCAGTGCAGTGACAATACCTTGTACTCCACTGAAAACTACAAGTCCCTCTGCCGCAGTGTTAGACAGGACTTAGTGTCTCCATTCACAGAATCTGTTATCAGACTTGTAAATGGATGATGGAGCTGTGCATATGGAGCTGCGCACAGCCGAGCCGGATTCAAAAAGTGATAGCAGCCTGCAGAGATTCAGGTAAGTTGGGGATTGCGGACGTAAGCATGTTTCATGTTACACCCTAAACGTGAAACATGGTTAGAAAATTAAACTCAGCCTTTAATCCTCAAAGTAAATGTAAATGAGTGCCAAGAGTCTTGCTTTATTTACAAAGCGTTGCAGCATGAAAGGATGCCCTCCCTTTGTGCCTTATTTATCTGGGGTCAGTCTTCTTTAATATTTAGCCACCATTAGTCCTGTCGTAGTTCCCAAAGAGTTTTGACTTGTAATCCCTTTATGCATTTTTACCTACATGAGATTCAGACTGGTGTTACCAGTTTTATATTGCAAAAAAACAGAAGCAGTTACTAAACAATCACATGTGACACATATCTCCGTCAGATGCTTAGATAAAGGTCATGTGTTTCTTAAAGGAAACATTTCCTTACAGCAGCATTTCTCAACCTTTTTTTATTCACGGCAGCTTTTAAAAGTATGCAAAATGTTGAGGTACCCCAGTCTGAAATGTAAAAAACCACGTGAGTTCCCACTCAAAATAAATACTATTAGGCTACATTCACACTATCGCAGGAATCCCAAATCTCCCGTTTAGCTGCAGCTGCTGTCACCCGTGTAAGTGTTAATGACCAGGTGGCAGCGGCAGCATCTGTAAGCGGCAATCCACATGTGATCATATGTGGTACAATTGTATGGGGTTTGGAATAGATCACTTTCCAAGGACGCATTAATTGTGTATCTAGGGACAGGGATCTATTCCAAACCGCATGTAATCCTATCGGACACGATTACATGCGAACTGCTGATTACAGATGTAGCCGCTGTCACCCAAGCATTAACTTGAACGGGTGACAGCAGCTGCATCTAAACAGGCAATTTCACATGAGAGTTCAAGTTAATGATCTGTTGATCGCAGCTGCATCTGTAAGCAGGAGTCCACATGTAATCGTATCGGATATGATTACATGTGGTTTGAAATAGATCACTGCCCCTGTACACACAATAGATGTGTCCTTGGAGAGTGATCTATGCCAGAATCCTTCCCCTTTCATCTCAGCGTCCCTATCGTTCACCTTTAGGCCTCATTCACACGACTAACAGCCGGCCCGTACAGATCCGTGCTGTATCTGGCTGCTCCCGGGAAGGACAGGTGCTGCATGTGATTGTACGCAGCAGCCTGTTCTTCTCTATGGGAGTATGCGGCCGTACACCACCGTATGCTCAACCGAACTGCACGTCCACGCAGGTGTCACTGCTCGGACGCAGACAGGATCCATCCTGTCTGCACGAGTACGGACACGCGTACCCGCAGGGATGTGCAGCTCGGGTGAGCGTACAGCCGCATACTCCCATAAAGAAGAACAGGCTGCCGCTTACAATCACACGCGGCACCTGTCTTTCCCAGGAGCGGCCAGATACAGCCTTGCACGGATCTGTACAGGCCGGCTGTTAGTCGTGTGAATGAGACCTAAACAAAAATGATTTCAAAATCATTGTTCCTATTCTGCATTGCGATGCTGAGCGCCAAGGTTGAATTTGTTGTTATTTCTTGTAAATACACCATAATACCTCAGTTGTGCCTCTATCATTTATTTTTATTAATTTTGTTTTGCTTGTTGGCAATATTGGAATAGCTAATGTGCTGTCTGCAGAGTACTGAGGCAAATCTCATCTGCCATTGCTTTGGTGCTGCTGTGAGAAAATAAGGTTGCTATGGAAGCCCCTGTACTTTTACATATACGTTGAATGATTTAGAGGTATCTATATGGCACTGACAATCGACATAATGCTTTTACATACTGTGCATTCACATCCCTGCCCTCAAGGAGCTTATAATGTAAGGGCCCTATCTCATATGCATATATACACATACTAGGGCCAGTTAACATACCAGCATGGCTTTAGAGTGGGAGAACATGCAATCTCTATGTGTAGTGTCCTGGGTGGGATTCAAACCATGGACCCTAGTGCTGCCAGACAGACATGGTAAATGCTGAGCCACTGTGCTGTCCATTGATATGAATGAATTGCCCTGTTAACGTGCCTGAGAAAATTAATCTTCAACTAAGGAACTGAGAAGCCGTTATTTTGCTTCCCTTTTGTTAGTCACACTGATAGAATATTTGCTATCTCTTTAATCTGAAGAGTTGTGGTTTAAAAGCCGTTAACAGAACAGCTCATAGTGAGTGTTGGGCAGTGGACAATGCAGACCTGACAATAGCTGTGCATTTCTATCTGCTTGAGACACTTCCAGCTAAAGCATTCAGAGTGTTGAAACCATTTGTAAAATAAGTATACTTGTGAAAAGGGAAGCAAGACAGGCCAGTATAGTTCTGCTGACATTCTCACTGTAAAATATTTGGGCTGCTGATTGTTGTAATTCTAGTGTTTTCATTACTTTCAATACATTACTGTGTACCATTTTTTGGGACTGGTAATTTTCAGCTCAGGGGTTTCACTACAGAAGACAGGGGAAAAAATAAACTGCTATACCCAAAACCTAAACGTTAAATCCTAAAATAACTCTTAACATTTGACATTTCCCCAACTAACAGCATAAGTCAATCCTTAACACATGGGCCCCATTCACACGGGGACTTCTGGGATCCCTGTGGTAAGCACCTACGGATTCCTGCACCAGGAACCCCATTTGTCCCCATTCAGATGCGGCCGCTGTACCCATTGAAGTAAATGACAGGGTGACAGTGGCCATGTCTCTCAGTAGCAGTCCGCATTTAATCGTATATGGTAGGGTAGATGTGTCCAGCAACAATCGTTTTTTCCCGAACTGCATGTGACAATCGTTTTGTTTTTTTCAGTGACAAAAACAAAATTTAAAGAGTAGTTAATGGGACAAAAACGATTTTCGTCCGTTACTCAATTTTCGTAAACGAAATCAATAATGAGAATCGTTGTCAGCGATTGTCATTATTGATTATCTGCAGCGCTGCTGCCGCCGCTCTGCTCGTCTGTTCTCCTCCCCACTGGTGCTGGCTGCAGTGGTCTGTGTCCCTTTCAATCCCCGCCTGTATCGGCAGAGGCAGCGGGGACACAGACCGCTGCAGCCGGCACCAGCGAGGAGGAGAGACCGCTGTGCCTCTGCATTCCCCCGCTGCCCTCCGTACCTGCGCTGCCGCCCCGTGTCTCCCCTTTTTCCCAGCCCGTTCCGTTCCTCCTCTTTCCCGGCCCGTTCCTCCTCTTTCCCGGATCGTTCCTCCTCTTTCCCGGCCCGTTCCTCCTCTTTCCCGGCCCTTTCCATTCCTCCTCTTTCCCGGCCCTTTCCGTTCCTCCTCAGCTCCGCCCCACTCTGCCTCAGCCTCGATCTGCCTCTGTCCCACACCTCCTCTACATCTACAGGCTGGATATTTTAAAATGCAATGGCCAATAGCAGGCTGGCTATTGCACCCGCCCACTGATTGCTGTCAATCAGCAGAGGAGAACCTGATGGAGAATATTCTCCTTCAGTTTCCTTCCCTGCTGATTGACAGCAGACAGTGGGCGGGTGCAATAGCCAGCCTGCTATTGGTTACTGCAATTTAAAATAACCAATAACAGGCTGGCTATTGCTCAAAGCCACTGCCTGCTGTTTTGACATTCAGCTGCTGAATCCAGTGAAGGGGAAAGGTGACACTAGGGGTCCAAAAAAAAACCCTAATGCCACCTTAAAGAGAACCTGTCACCTCTAATGTGCCATCACATAAGGGGCTTGTGATAGCAATGAAGTAAAAAAAAATGTAAAAGACAAAAGTTAAATATAATTAAAAATTACTCCAGCGATATATAATTAAATGTGTTTGGAAATGCTAGAGAATTGCATAAAAAATGCATTACACTAAAAATAAACTAGATTTTCCTCGACTAAAATCGACTTGAATTTTGTCGACTAAAATTGAAATGAATCTGATGACTAAATGCGACTAAAAATAAAAATACATTTTCGTCAAAAGACTAAGACTAAAACGGAAATGAAATTTGGTGCCAAAATGAACACTGATGCATACTGCTGCTGAGAGACGTGGCAATGAGACGCTGTCACATTGTCATTTACTGGATTGAGGAGCACAGCGACCACATCTGAATGCAGGAACCCCACCTCATGTGAATGGGACCTTAATCTGACATTAATGCTTAAACTTTAAAGCCAAAATACACCTTTTGCAAAAAAATCAAATCAATGCGCACACGTTGGTTAAAAAAAAAAGTGCATTTATTTATTTATTTGTTCATTGGAGCCTGCAAAGCATTGTAAACGTGATAAGTGCATTAAACATTACCCAGGTATGGTCTACTCTTGAAACCCACCTTGAGAAATGTCGTCCAACAATTGGTGGAGTGCAGTGCATATTAACAAGCTGCAGACTACTCATGCTGAAATACAACACAGGATGAATACATAAAATTGATATATATATTTTTTACTGTATATGTGTATAAAGTGCAGAAATGTTTGTATGTTTTTTAGGTGGTATTGGAGTGGAGTCGGGATCAGTATCATGTTCTGTTTGATACATACCGGGACAACATTGCTGGAAAGTCCTTTCAGAATAGGTAACCTGCTTGTGCTGTGTTTTTTTTTTTTTTTGTATTTGACTTTGAACGACTTTATAATAATATTTCCTTTGTTGTTTCTAGTTAAATAAACATGTAGCAAGTAAATACATGAAAGGTATGAATAGTTTGCTATCCACATCAGTGAAGTCCATTACTTGGAGCCTCTGTTTTCTTTCTTCTCAGCACTTAGAGCTAGTTACTGTAAGAAAGAGAATTAACTCTGGCCCTAAAGCATTGCACATAGTCTTAGAGTGGGTCATATCATGATCTTGTGGCAGCTCTTTGGCTGCACTTCAGAATATATTTTTCCATTGCGGCTAGAGCTTGACATGGTTCAAGTGTATTCCAAGGACTTACTTTTTCTCATCAACAATGTCATTTGTTAGCGTGATTGTGTTGTTCTATTACTGATTGTAACATTCAGTATGTAGCTAATGCATTGAAAAAGCATCTTATTTTCAGTATGCTTGGTACCATGTCACACTGTATACAGTTTTTTCTTAAAGGAGAAGTAAATCTAAACCTTATTTTTTTGCCTTTACTTTTCTTTTTTAGGTCACAGGAGTACTTTTTCTAATGCCAGCTATCTGTTGACAGTGTAGAGCTGCATTGCAAAATTGCCAGGATCTACCACGGCTGCCTGACAGCTGACTCTGCTTCCCCAGAGCCAGAACCAACCCTGCCTGTCCCCTCCCCTGTCTGTTCCTTCAATAAGCACTGAAGAGTCAGGGGAGAGGGTGCTATCCTGAGGGGAACTGTGACTGACAGTCACGTGCTCTCTGCAGGAAGAATTACCAAGAGCTGAGTGATCGGCAGTTACATGATTGCTCTGCTCTCGGTATAGACCAGCAGGGTTATTCACAAAAGGGTGAAGAGTTTGGAGAAGGCCGGAGAAGTGAACAATCTAGGACAACATAGCTGAACTGGAAAATGAGCTATGTTGTCCTAGATTGTTCACTTTCCTGCCTTCCCCAAACTCTTCACCCTTTTGTGAATAACCCTGCAGATGTGTGACAGCTGAAGTCTCCTATGCCAGTTCTAAGCAGCGGGGAGAGTATGTTTTACTTTCCCCACAGATCTCTTTTAAGCAAACAGGTTTTTTGCAAAGTTTTTTTTTTACCTGGGGATCCTGCCAGTAACAGCTCTTCCTGTTGCAGGCTGACAAAGATAATCCACTGCCTTGCAATAATCAGCAACATTGTCAGCCTGTGTGCTTCATATGTTGCATTATCAAGGTCTTATAAGTCCATCCCTGTATCATTTGTAATGTAAAATATACTGGGCAATTTAAAGATCACTTGGCATGTGACTTATAGGAAGTGATAGCTCATGTTCATGTTGCTGTGCATATTTTCTAACCAGCTGATGTTTTATCATTCTGGGCTCTATCCAGGCTATGTCTCCCCATGCCTATTGACGTGGTATATACCTGGGTAAATGGTTCTGATACAGAACTTGAGAAGCAGCTACGTGATGTACGTGAACAGATGGAAGAAGAACAGAGGGCGCTAAGGTACCTTTGGATTCAAGTTAATGTTTTATATCGACCCTTTCCCTATAGCTAAAATTGAAGCTGCCTTTAAACTACCTCTCCAGCTGGTCCTGACTCTGACCATCATTCTTTTGAAGAGCTCTGACTGCCAAAAAATATTTGGCATCCAACACACTTCCCAGTGTGTCGAGTGCCTTTACTCTGTGGTTATATCTTCCAGCCCCAAAGTCACTACTCACACTAAACATAGGAGTTGAATCTTAAAAATGCATTCAAGTACCTTACCTATTAACAAAAATGTATCTTATTTGTGTATCACTCAGCAGTAGATCCTCAAATCATCTCTGAATTCATGCTGACACTGTCCTTCCCTCTGGAGTGGTGGCTACTTTTGTCCCCCTTTAACCCTGTATGTGGTAAAGTAGCCACCACTCCAAGCTCACTCTCATGATGGACTACAATCTCAATACAAATTAGTAAACTAGACGTGAGATCAATGATATGATGAGTGGAGATAAATAACATCTCTTTGTTGGGGTAAATTGTGTTGCACGTGTAAGTATTGCGACAAATTGAGAGGAATCTATCAAAACTGCAGCAGACAAAAACTGGAGCAGCTGTACACGGCAACCAATCAGCATCTCTTTTTCCTTTTCAAATCTTAACTGAGCAAACTGAAAAGAGAAGCTGATTGGTTCCCTCCCATTGTGTTTGAGACAATTCTGCAACAGATTCATATACACCTTTCCGACAGTTACATGAATCTATTGCAGTTTGTAGTATGGACAGGAGATGACACACTATAAATTCCGGGGATAGTTCCTAATTAAGCAGTTCATCTTTTTGGTTCAGCAACTTATCTTCTCTGTCTTCATCTTTCTCTTTGAACAGTGAATCAGCAGTATCAGTTGACCAGGAAATAAGGAATAGTAAACTAACAAGTAACAGAGTGAACAACCTTCAGACCTTGATCACACAAGCGGTAAAACTGCACAGTTGATGTGCAGTTTTCCGTCCCTCAGCTACTCGCTGCAATGGTAGCACAGCGGCCCCACAGTGCTGTATATATTGCCATTGCTGCAATGCTATGCATCATGGAGCAGCGAAACATTTACAGCATGTTGCTTTTGACAGGCAGCGCCATTGTCTAAAGCTACATATGGAATGAGTGGGTACGCAATTGCGGTGCGGTATTTTATCCCAAAATTCCATTAGGATTAAAAAAAAAAATAGAAACCATGCATTCACGAGGCAACCTTGTCGCCTCCTGAACGTCAGGCAGCCATTGCTTCACTACACCCAGAAAAGCGATCCACCGCGGACCACTTTTTAGAGGGTGGTAAAGACTGCAGCCCATCTGAAGAGATGTACGACGAAAATTGCTGCCCTAAATTACAAATGCTTTGACAGGTGCAGCATTAATATGTATTTATTCAGTGAATTGAGCTGGAGCTTTAATTTAAACCTCATCTTTAGCCCACAGGTTAAATGTGCATAAAGTTCTGCAATACTGTACCTAATAAACAATCAGTTTTTTTAATTATAATTGCTGACTATTTAGAAAGGTAAGTGCCAAGTATGTGGATTATGAGTATTGCACCCCTAAATATATGAATAAATAAAGCAGATTATGGGGCTTTCAGTTAATGCTCATAAAGAAGGTATACTGACAATGAAATACATAATATTATTCATTGTATTAGTTTCCATTTAAAACAAACTAACAAAGAAAGACGCAGAATAAAACACATGGATAAAATCTATAAGCACAAATATTGAGAAATCAGGACCAAGCACCACTATAGCTTCAGCTTGTATATCAACCATGTAAGAAAACACTTATAACGGTCTTCTATATACAAAGAATACCATGGACAAATCATCTTGATATAGTTATGGTCCTGGGTGGGTTCGTACTGCTTCTAGATTATATATGTGCTTCAAGATTTTATCCATGTATTTTATTCCGCTTTTTTTGTTATAGTTTGTTTTTAATGGAAACTAATAAAAAGAATCATTTTATGTATTTCATTGTCAGTATACCATCTTTATGAGTATTAGTTGAAAGCTTTCCTTCTAATTGCTGACAATTTTACTGGTGGGTTGCTGCTTTTAAACTGCTGTTTGCACTATCTTGTTAAATAAGCCCTCTAAATTCAGTAGTCTATGCCGTTCCCAGTGGAATTCTTCTATGAAACCCAGAGCCAATGATTTCAGGACTGTTTTCTATTGTTAACATGTGTTCTTTATTTTCAATCTTTTAGAAAAAAAAAATGCATCTGCTCCAGCTCTATGTTTATGTAGTGTTTGTAAATTACAGCTCTTCCCTGTAAATTAATTTCCTCAGTGCTGCAAAGTGTTTGCACTGGGCGTGAATATCCTGGTGTAGTGGAAGCTGTGCTATCTGCATTCCATGCTATAGCTTATTTAGAGAGATATAGCAGGTGTTCACTCTAAACAGATGCAATATAAAGAAGTTGTGAGGTTTTACTCTGTCGCATTCCTACTTTATAACAGCTAAGTGGAAGTTAATGGAAAAAAAGCTGTTGTAGTAAGGCTGGCCAAACACTGTTAGAATTTTGGCTTATTCACAGGAATTGGGTGAAATTCTTACAGTGGGTGGCCCTGCTAGCTTAATAAAAGTCGATTAATCAAGCGACTTTTGTTGAAGGAGTCAGTCATAAATGTTTTGGCCGAACAGTAACCACAGCCAATGAGCTACAGTCACTGTTCATGTATTCTGCCAACAGTGGGCACCAGCTATCAGAGTACAATAGCTGCATTGGGAGATGTGTCCATCTGTGCTGTTTGGTGTGGATGGTGGAATCTGTTTAATTTTTTTTTTCTTTTTCAACCTGCTGGCTGAACGAAAAAAAACACTTTTTTTTACTCTGTCTCAGTGCTCCTGCTTAGCATCACCTTGCTGTGCAGCTGAATTCATACATTTTCTGCCTTGTGATTAGGTGCAATCTGTTCCACTGTATCTCTTTTCCTTATATGATTTCTACTAGAGCACCTATTGTGTGTGGCAAAGGCTGACTTTTTGAAACGACTCAGTACAGCACTAACAAAAGGACTTGCAGCTTCCATCCTATTGTTTTGCAGTTTGCGTAGAGACATTCCTTTAATGGCCATTCCAAAATTGTTATATTTCAGAAAACATCTTTATGCTGAACGTGATCACATACTAAAGTACAGAAAAGCGAATGTTTCTTTGTTTGTTCAATACTTCAGTAATGGTATATATACTTTATTTTCTTAGGGATCTTCTGGGAAGCAATAGAACTGAGCCAACAAGAAAAGGGTAAGTAGTATCCTTTGTGGCTTCACATAATTATCTGCACTTCTGGTTTAGAATGCTTGTTCAAGTGCAGTTTCTGTGATATAGAATTTATGATAAATACACAGATCTATAAAACAGCTTATGAGTTCATTTACAGACAAACTGAAATAGATTTACATTTTTTAATGAGAAAGTAGAAAACTACTGCACTTGCCTCCCCTGACCTGCAACCCCTGTCAGCGCAATGTTTTCACAGGGAAACCCATAGACTACCAGTGTATTGCTATGCTTGTGGCTTTATTCACAGCCAGCCTTCATGAACTTACCAGTTTGTTTAGTGGGCTGTGCATGCAGGCCTAGTGTGAGGGCAACCATACACATATGGGCAGCTATGAAACTGGTAGTCTTCCTTTGCAGCTTTTCGCATTCGGTCACATGACTTTCTCAGAGCCACAAAGGAAGTGGGGGTTGGAAGACTTCCCTCTATTAGACACAAAAAATTCATCTCTAAATGGGAAACAGCAGATTTATTGTTTAAGTAGTTATTCCCAATGGAGGTTACCAGTTTGATTTATGTCTGAATGGTCAATTATGTCCACTATGGGCAACCAGGCCAACATATCCTACTAGTACTGTCTTAGTGGGCAAGTGCTCCCCAGCCCAGTACTCCTCTGATGTGGAGGATCTTGTTTCAATTCTTTTTAATTATTCAGAGATCCATACCCCTCTAATTTTGGTTCACATACCATCACGGAGTATGGTTACTCTCAGTTAAGAGCTCCTGTGTTAGCGACTATATTAGTGCTGATAGGAAGAAACCGCTGTGTCTCATCAGTTGCAGAGTTTTTTCTTTTTAATCCCTAGTTATATTTTATTAGAAACATTATTTTAATGTTAAGACAAAAGACAGATCACAATATAAAATTAGCACTTTATACTTCATTTTAAAACAATAGGTCTTGCTTATCACCAAACTACAAAAAAGGAATATACGGAAGACGAAACATTTCTTGCAAAACAATATCACAAGGAAAGCTTCCCCTCCAGACAAAATACAATCCATTTATATCTCACTTCTGCACCATAAGTAATAGCAAAGTTATTAAATAGCCCCATAGTTGAAATACAAAAATGGCTCTGGAGTTCAGTCTGTTTTAGAAGCTAGTAGGGTTGATTTATTAAAGGAACAAAGACTGTTCAGTTTTGAAAGTTGAATGTTCACTGAGCTTAGTGAATAAGGTTGAGCTTCAATCTTTCAATAATATGCTAGCAACATTTCTTTTTTTTTCCCCTTATCCATGCTTATGACCTTTTCTGCTAAGCCAAGTGTACTTTAAGCTTACAAAGTGTGCATACACTTTTCAAAAGAACAGTCTGCTAAAAAAAACTCTGATGTGTTTTAAAAGTACAGTTTCCCTTTAAAACTGATGCTAGATCATTTTACTTCATGTCCATTAATAGTAACATTTTTATGGGTTTTTGTTGAAAATAAAGAAAGGCAAAGCTCACGCCATCATTGAACTATGTGCCCTTTTATGGCTCTTTTGGGTGAACAGAGCCAACCTGAAGCTGCTAGATAGTTTTCTGCCATATCTATAAGTCCTTACATTGTTTATGTGCTGACTAACATTGTTCACTGTCTAATGCATCATTTGCTCAGTTCTAGTGATAAGATGCTGGAGTGTCTTCTTACACACTGTATTCGGGTCCCAATGTTGGTACTGGATCCATCCCTTCCTCCCAATACTACTCTAAAGGATCTGCAGTCTTCGCAGCCTTTTTTCCATGCAGCAATCTCACTATTTCATGTTGCTAAACCCAAGAATCCATCAACCAATGTCACAGTTCTTGTCTTTGACACACAGCAGGATGGTAAGTATGCTGTTTTATAGTCTGCATATGAAGCTGTGCTCCATAAGCCATAATTAAGCTAGTCAGGATTTTAAATTCTGAAAAGGTTTCTCTGGCCATTATATTTCAAATGAGCATTTTTCATGACATCTTGATCTTTTCACACAAAATGTAATTTTTATCCTGAGTTTTTATCGCAGCTGTTATTTATGGGTAGTTAACATGTATCCATTAAATAAAAGAAAGATAATTTTGTAACTTTTATAGTACTTAAGATCCATGTTTTACATTAGCAATGTTCAGTTGAGCTTTATACATTTCAAGTCAACTTGTAATTTAGGGAAAAGACAACAGAGGAACATAGAGGATGTCTGAAAATATCTCTGAAACTGTGAGAGAAATGGATGAGTTACCTTGGATTGATACCTACCAACCTCATTCTTCATAGACTACTTCAGTGATGTTTAAGGAACACTGTGCCACAGTAGAATATAAATGTTATGATTGTTTCAACAAAAACACTCATAGCTATTTAAGCAGAAAAAGGTTGATAACATTGGACATCTATAGGTTTCTCTATAAATTATTATATATAGGTAGTATATCTTCATTCTAAACTTCAAATGCCATAATGGATGCTGAGTAAACATGAAGGTACCAATTTTGTACATGTCCAAAAGTGTGTATTACTTTACATTTTTATTGGGGCCATTGTTTAATCTTTAATTACTTAGTTACAGGCAAAGGGGAGTAAGCTGTATCTTGGGTTATTGTGTGTTTAAGTGTAGAAATGAAAACTCGCAATAAACATGAGAAATGTTTGTAATGAGAAAAAAAAGAAGGCAAACTAGTCATGGGAGAACTACAGGTCTGCTGAGATTTGTCGTCAGACAACCGCTTTCAGACTACTCGCATTTATATTATAATATTTAAAACTACTGGTATCACTTTTTGCCAGTTATAGCTCTGTAGTTTTCTTCACCCTCTGACACTAGTAAGCAACAGTAAGTACTAATTGTAGACATTTTATTTATGTGAGCAACCTTTTATGACCGTATCACTTTAACAATGGCAACCCTTATAGTTCTCTGACAGGTTTTGTTTAAAGTACAGAAGAAAATAGATTTCATTCACTGATTTTGTAGCTTAGTGTCTGTTTCATAACCTTAAATACCAACTTCAGAATAGAGATGGGAACAGCTAGAACCTCAGCTAAGTTTTTGTTGCTGTCTATGTCCCTGGGGAGAGTCACCCTCTCTATTTGTTCTAGTAAACATTGTCACATGGACAGAAAGTTATGAGAAGTTCTAAATGTTATGGTTGTCGCCAGAACAGAAGGTGAGGGGAATCTTCTGATTTAGGACACCTGTGCTAGTGCCAACTGACTTAGAGGGGAGTTTCCCTCACTATGGAGATTTTTTTTTTTACCTTCCTGTCCTTGATATACAACAGGAAGTATATAAATATCCCCAAAAGGAGCAAAGAAAATAATACTGGGAGGGGATTAACCATTCCTTACTATTCTTAAACTAATAAACACTTTTTGCTTTAGATGTACTGTTAACAATGCTAAACCTTTATTTAAAGTGTATATCCACTTTTGCAATCAAATTTGAGAAAACCCTTCTGTATATATGGTATGTATTGTTCACTCAGCATACTGAAAAATAACTTTAACAAAAAAAAATTCTTACCTTTTTAGATGCTTTGTTAAAGGAGAACTATGGGGTTAAGGCTTTTCCCCATAGTTTTCCTTAGGGTAACGGGAGGACACAAACTAGCGTCCTCCCATCACCCTAGTCTCAGTATACCGCGAGCTGTAGCTCACGGTATACTGAGACGCCGCAGTATAACGCGAGCTGCTGCTCGCGGTATACTAAGACGCCGCAGCTGAAGCGGATCCCGACAATTATGTCAGGATCCGCCCAGCTGCGTGACTGACAGCTGGCTCTGCCTATCTAGAGGCAGAGCCAGCTGTACCCGCCCCCTCCCCCGTCCGTTCCGCCAGTCAGCACTGGCGGATCGGAGCGGGGAGGGGGGAATCCAGCCCCACCCCTGTCACGGCAGAGAGCCGTGACAGGATCGAGAGGTGAGCGAACGCCGGTGTTTGCTCACCTCCCGATCTACTGAGCCGACCCGTGACAGTGTCATTGTCACAGGTCGGCTAGAACTATGAGGTGAGTGAAAAGCACTCACCTCATAGTTCTCCTTTTAAAGCAGGCAAGATAGCTGATTCCAGGTTTTTCTAAACGCTATCACAGTGGTCTAGCCTAATGGAAATACTTGGGACTGAAATTTTAGGATTGTGTTTCTCTGATGAGCTTCATTAACATACAATGGACAAGCTACCTCAGACCCCCTCGCCCCTCACAGCTCCTCCTAACATTTCAAGGAAATGGAAGCAAGAAGACATTTTAACCCTCAAAACCCATGTAAAAGCAATTTAAACTGCAAGAAGCATTTTTTTTCTGCTTATGCTATCTGAATGGAAACATTTAACAAATATAAAATAGGTGTTATCCCAATTTGGCTGCGGAAGTGGAAATACACTTTAAGGTTTTTTTCTATATTCTTTTCCCTTTCTGCAGCGGAAACTGCACAACTGAATGCTTTGTTGGAAACGAGCAAGGAAACCATCTGGAGAGCTTATCTGGTATGTTTATCTCAATATCCATTAAATTAAATCATGCAATAGATTCAATCTAACATTGTTTACTTCATTAATATATCATTGTTTATATTTCCAATGTTTTTATTTATAGTATTTAAAACTCATAAAAATTGTTGGATATGCTGAGAACCGAAAGAGAAAAAGATGCAATAGTATTTTTGTACTCGTAGTAACATTCTTCCCTTGGAGCCCATTGAAGGACAGAGGAATTCCAATACGTTTGGGTTATACCACCATCTATACAAGGATTGTGATTGGGGACATGTGTCCTTCAATGAACTCCAAAAAAAGGATTTTATATTAAGTACAAAAATCCTTTTCTGCTTTCAGGGACACAGGAATTCATATACTGTCTGGGCATCCAAAGGCAGTTCAAATGAGAGGTGAGCTCAGCAACAATTGCTAACATAGCCACTAAGAGAACTGGGGACTGCCTGAAGCCCAGGAGCCGCCTAGAGAAACAAGGCCTGAATCTTAAGCAGATGTGCCTGACCTCCCTAGCAGATAGGGAAACCTGCCAACAAGAGGGAATGACTCCACATGGAAGAGGCACTGAGCTTGAACCAGTGGAAAGATAATCAAACAATAACAACTTCCAAACAATTCCCTGCAAGGGATGAGAGAAGCTCCCTGGATATAGGAAAAATAATCCATCCCAGCCGCCTAGAGGAGATGCTGAAGGTACACATCAGGGACTACCTGGTCCATAGTGACAGATATGTTAGACTGCTCAGAAATTGACTCGTAACAACAGAGAAGAGAGCTGAAATAGATGGAGAAAAAAAAGAAGAAAGGCTGATGACCCTCAGAGGAGGGTTCCCCAGGTCCCAATGTTCCTGTTAACTCCCTGTCTGATGTCAAGGGATCTGAAGCTTCACAGGCTGTAGACCTCTGTAGCGAGGAACTAAGCTGATTAACCTCGCCACACAGATGACAGTCAGTTACCAACGCTGAAACTTGACGCAGCCAAATCCGGATGGATCTTGCAAGTGTTAGGGCCTTCAGGAAGATACTTATCCTCATGGTGCAGTATATAATATTTATTTACCCAAAGAGTGTTAAAACTCACATTTTAAAATAGTGACAGCCAGCCGGCTACCGCATAAAAGTCTGCCTCCTTAGACTGAAAGTGTGACGTCATCAAAGCCCGCTCCCGACGCGTTTTGTCGTTGCGACGTTGTCAAGGGATAGCAGGTCTGATTAGTCACACTCCAGTCTTCATTTATACCCCAGGGTTTACGAACAATCTAATAAAACATCTTCAGGTGCTGAGCCAGTTCGATCGCAAGGAAAATGTTTCTATATAAATACTCCACTGTCATCTTATAAACCCCATATAGCCTAAACACCACCATCTACCCGCAATTGCCACTTTGTAGGAGGGAATGGACACACATATATATTATTTTCTAACTAGTCAATGGCAGTAAATTTGATATATAATGTTACAAAAATGTATCCCAGAGCTTACAATTGACATAATAGAACACAAATAAGTGTTCCACCCGTACGATCAAGGAAAAAAAGGGGATTCCATATACAATGTGTTCAACCTTCAAAACATAAATTATAAATAAAAGGTAAATATATTCCCTTCTAATATAATAAATGGAGACTACCCTGCCTCAAAAACAGTCTCTTCACAGATAGACTGCTGGGACTCTAAATTTGAGTCAGATCATACAGCAACAACTGGTCCAGCCTGTTCTAAGGCCTTGGGAAGGTCAGAGATAGACTCTGAAAGGAATGGCATTGGGCAGGCTTAGGGCACCTGCAGGCAATATCTGCAAGGAATTTGGCGAAAATGGGTCACAAAGTCTTGAGTGACTGCAGTAGAAGCTTCTGGCAACTGGGTAAGGAACTCGACCCCACTGTTGCGAACACGTGGCGGTGATGCAACTGGGCACGAGGTGCAAGGCCTCAAGTACTCACAGACCCAAGCAGCTGGTGGTGATGAGGCTCAGAGTGCCAGAGATGACCTGGTTACTGTAGGCAGGCAGTAGAAACAACCTGAAGATTAAAGTTCCACATGATGCTTTGCAAAGCAGGAGCAGCAGTGAGAAAATGCATTATCTATGTTGAATGTTGGAAAAGAGAGCATGGAGCTCAGTCCCTCTGTGTTAACCTTTTCTGTGTTAAAATTGGAGGTAATTTGAAGGGCTTCCATCAGTACAAATGGGTAGCTCCCGGTGCTTCAACCTGATCAGTGTACAGAGTGAGTCTTCAGAGACACGGCAAGCACTGGGCTAATGCCAAGGCTCCTGACCTGGAAAGCACTCCATGGTTAACTTTTACTAGTACGTGAAGGTCTATAAAGCTTCACAAGCGTAACCCAGTGTCCAAAGGTCACATTCCAGGCTAGCCCAGAAATTTCAAGTACAACTGGGTCCAGATACAGTACCCCAAAGTCAGGCTGGAGAAAAACTGTTCCAGATGGCTGCTATGTAGATACCAGCTTAGCAGCAGTGTAATGAGGAATTTTGATTGCAGTTAATGGAAAAAGAAATCCACTGGCAAAAGTTGGTTAGGCATTTATCAGCAGAGCTGGAAAAAAAGACATTTGTCCTCCTAGGGCACTAGCAAAAGACATGCTGGGTAGAGATGGGGTTATTCTGGGGCTGGCCTACAATTTATTTATTTGTTTGTTGTAACCCCAAAGCATCTGAATTTCTGTGTCCTTAAATGGAAGAGAAAGAAAAATGTATACAGTATATACATATGTAAATTGTTTGAGCCAAAAGGGAGCCCATGAAAATACTGGAAATACATCAATGTATTAAAGTGGACCATCCAAGAAAAATAGGTCAGTTTTACTGCCTGTCCTGAACCCACCAAACAGAAGTAGCTGTAAAAAAAAAAAACCCCTACAAATAAAGCTATGACAAGCAATACTTACCTTGGCCCTAGCTTCACTTCTAGGAAAGCTGGGTGCTAAAAATCCCATGAGAATGCACTCTTGCAGTGGGTTAGAGCAGTGCTTCTTAAAGTGTGGGTCGCGACCCCATATGGGGTCCCGCAAGTGAACAGGGGGTTCGCGATCCGAGTCCCCGGCCAGGACCGCCATCAGGGGGGGTATGGCCGATACTTGTGTGAGGGGCCCAGACGGCCGAGGAGGTCTGGGCTCCAAGCTAGATTGTTTTATTTCAGTTTATTGTATAATTTTCTGTGTAGTGACTGGTGCTGGGGGGAGGGAGTGAAGAGGAGAGAGACACTGACTGGTGCTGGGAGGGGGGAGAGAGAAGAGGAAAGAGACACTGACTG